CTGACCTCTTTGAGGACAGAAACTAGATCGTATGTTACCATATTTCATGAGTTGTATGTAATCGGTAGTGTGTGAAACCAACATATTTGTTGAAAAAAATAGATTAGTTATAATACTCAACCCTTACCAGACTTTGTTGTATTTATTTCATAAAATGTTTCTTCAAAATTAATTGAATTAAGTGTATGATCTTTTTTATATTTATTATTTTATGTGTATGCGTGTATTGCCTGCATGTAGGTAAGTGCACCCGTGTTGTGCAGTGCCCGAGGAGGACAGAAGAGGCTGTCGGATCTCCAGGAACTGGAGTTATGGACAGTTGTTAGCTGCCGTGTGGGTGCTGGGATTCAAACCTGGGTCTTCTGCAAGAAGAACCATTGTTCTTAACTGCTGGGCCATCTCTCCAGCCCCTTAGTGAATGATCTTAAAATGAATTAAGTATATAAAATACTTGTCTACCTACCATTTAGAAATACTATTCTCACATCTTAGCATTTTATAAACATAAAAGAAAAACACTTTGTAACATTGAAGTACATAAATCCTTGGCTTCTTGCTGAATGTAGTGCAACAATAGATATAAATGCCAGAAGCAGGGTTTTTGGAACTAAGAATGAACTAAGAAGTTAAAAATATATTTTTCATGCTTTCATGTTTTATTTTTCTTCATAATGTCTTCATTGCTAGTAAGACTATTTGTAACATTGGTCAAGGGGCATTTGTTTTTCTTTGTTTTACATTGTGCATGGCCTTGTATGGGTTTAGAAAGCACTCTATCACTACCTATACAACCTTCTATGCTATATTGCATGGTATCTTCAGCTTGTAAAATGCCAATAGCAGCCGGGTATGGTGGCGCATGCCTTTAATCCCAGCAGAGGCAGGCGGATCTCTGTGAGTTCGAGGCCAGCCTGGTCTAGGACAGCTGGGGCTACAAGGTGACGCTGTCTTAAAAAGACCAAAAAAGAGAAAAATGCCAATAACATCATAGTTCTTCAACATAGATCTTTGGGGGCAGTACCACTGCTGTTGAAAAGAATCTTAATTAATCATGTGTATGTAGACTAGCAGTCAGTATTCCCATTAGAGAATAATGGAGATGTGAGTGCGTTTACTTTTAACATTAGCTTTTTTTTACTGCTTTTTGTGGGTGAGTTTTACATAGGTTTTGTTTAGGAACACTTACTGTCTTATCTATGCATGTGCACACACATGGATGTGGAAGGGCAAATCCTTGTAATTTGGATTTGCCAAATGGTCTTACTCTAATGTTTATATGTCAGGAATTTTCCTATGCTATTCTGAAATTTTGATTTATAAGAGGTTTAAATTTTAGTAGTTCTTAAAGAGATTATGCTTTTCGGGTGGAGATTTTTGATCTGGCTGGCCTCGAACTTATAGAGAGCTGCTGCCTCTGGAGTGCTGGGAGTAAAGGTGTGTGCCACCATGCTCAGCAAGATTGTTTTTGATAAAATTTAATCTTAAATTGGAGGCTTGATAAATGAGGATCGTGGGAAGAAATGAACTCCTGAGGCATCCACTGCTCCTTAAGTGCTGAGTATTGTGATAATCTTGTTAGCTATGCAGTATTAGTCATCATTATTCTTTGGCGGTTTACTTTATAGTGTTCTGAACATTAATAAGACATGAGTATAACAAAACAGAGCCCTATTTTGAAAAACTTCATATTTTCACTTCATAGTACCATCTGGTTGTCTGACTCTGCAGGATAAATCGGGGCTGGAAAACTGTAGCCTATGGCTAGATTTCTGATCACTGCCTGTTTATGTAAATAAAATTTAATTGGATAGCCATGCTCACTTTTCAGTGTTGTCCTTACCTGCTTTTGTGACATTATTTGCCTACAAATTTGAAAATAATGACCATCCTTTATATGAAGAGGCACCAAAACTACCTTTTTAAGAGGAGAGAATTAGGAGAATGGTGATTAATGTTTTGAGGCAAATGTACAATTACTAAATTTATGTGTATGGATGTGCACATGCCTTGGTGCACTTGTGGAAGTTTGAAGACAACTTATGGGAGTCAGTTCTGTATTTCCATGTGGTGTCTCATGGATAGAACTTAAGTTGTCAGGCTTACTCACAAGCATCTTTTACTTACTGAGCCAACTCATTGGTCCTGTATAATCATTTTTTTAAAAAGATATTAGTCCTCAGAATAGCAAGTGTTAAATAAGTTTAGAAAGGATCAGTGTTTGTATTGTTGAATTTAAGCCAAGTTTTGGCAAACTTTGATTTTCTGAGACTAGTATATAGTTTTACTTTTTTATGACCTGATACTGAGAATTTGCCTGCTGGTTTCTACTTTAAGGTCTTAGTGAGATAAAGATAAATGTGGTTCTAATCACAGCACTGCATAGGTGTGTTTTAGAACCAAAAAAGAATTTGGCTTAAAAACAAAAGTGCTGCTTTTATATAGTGCATTAGTTTCTGGTGATAAACAATGACTGTTGACTTTAAGTTTGTCTGTGTGGTATGTGTTTGTGTATGTATGTGGTTTCCCATGCGTGCATCTGTAAAGGTCAGATGTTGATGTTTGGTGTCTTCTTCAGTTGCTCTCTTTTTGTGACAGTATCTTCTCATTGAATCTGACACTCATAGAGAGGTTGGCTAGATGGGCTGGCTGAGTAGCCAGCCCCTGGATTCTCCTGTCACTACCTTCTCCACTGGGATTATAGACACTGGCCTGCATGCCTGCCTTTTAGAATGTGTGCCTGGGATCCATACCTGAATCCTCTTGTTTATGTAGCCAGCATTTTACTGCTTGAGCCATTTCGTAGCCCTCCGTGTAACATTTTTAATAGATTAGTCTTGGAGTACTTATTATTCTGCAGCAATGTTCAGCTTCAAAATGAAATTTTTCCTTCATGATTTTCAAATTATAAAACTTTGAGGGCTAAGGGACACAGCTCAGTGGTATATGACTTTTCTGGCACATACAAGGCCCTGGGTCCTTCATCCTCAGGTTCCCCCAAAATAAATAAAACTATGAAAATGATGACGTATAGGACCTGGAGGACATAATTCATAAGCATTGTACCATGGTTTTTAAATCCTGTATTAGAGTTAAAATTCAGTGCTAGGGATCAAACCCGAGGTCTTTTGCAGTCTTAGCTTAAATTTTACATCAAGCTGCACCCTCAGTCAAGACTTTTCTTTTGAAAAGGTCTTGGGTATTAATACAACTTTGTTCTCTGTTCTCATCAGCGTGTGCTTTTTTGTATGGAATGTGAATGTCTATTGCATTTATTAATCTTAGATATGTAAAATCTGTTTCCTGGGTATATTAATATGCTTTTTCCCACTTTCCTCCCTTCTCTCTTCCTCCTTATTTTTTTGGGGGGCATGATCACACTATATAGTTCTGGCTATCCTGGAACTTGGTATGTAAGCCAGTCTGCAAATTCAGAGATTGACCTGCCTTTGTCAGCCCCCACACCTGGCACATACATTGTTTTATAGCTTATCTAAATTTCATGTAGACGCTGCCTGACCTTAGGAAAAGAAAGAACAGTTGAAGATAGAATTTCTTCAAACTTGGCTGGCCTGATGCTTAGATTTGTAGCCCTATCATTGATGGAATCTTTTGAACAGGCACACATTCTGTGATAAATTCTGTTATGTACCTCCAGGATGGTGCATGTGTTCACATGTACACATGTGTGCTTTCTGTTTAAAACTTGAAAATTCTTAGAAAATACTTTCTTGATTTCATGTAGTTTTTTTTAAACAATTGGCATGTTTTGATTTTTTTCTCTGCAAAACCAATTTGAGAATTTATTCCTCTGATCTGCATGTACTGTGCCTATCTATATTTCAGTATACAAATTGGAAGGTGTTACTTCGTGAATCACAGATGGCCATTTTTATATATAGTTCTTCAAGGTGGATGCCCCCTTTCCCTAGTACCTGAGATTGAACCTAAGGCCTTATGCACATTACCAGGGCATACACTTGACAACTGAACTATATACTTGGCTATTATAAATCTTTAAAAACCATAGTTAAAGGGGCTGAAGAAATGGCTCAGTAGTTAAGAGCACTGATTGTTCTTGCAGAGGACCTGGGTTTGAGTCCCAGCACTCACATGGTGGCTATGAACTGTTAACTCCAGTTCCAGGGGAATCTGAAGCCCTCTTCTGATTTCTGCGGCATTGCACAACACAGGTGCACTTACGTACATGCAGGCAATACACTCGTACACATAAAAAATAAACCATAGTTAAATGGCTCAATAATTTTTTTTAAATTACAGATTTACATTTATTTGATAACACAAAAAATGCACATTTATGGAGTATTGTGTAATGTGTTTTGATACCTGTATACAATATATATTATTTAGATCAGGTTAAACCTGTATGTCATTTATCATTTCTTTGGGGTAAAACATCCAAATCCCTAGGTTTAATGTACTTTAATTTTTACTTTATGGAAACGAATGATCTGCAGTGCCCGAACAGGGTAGAAGAGGGCATAGGATCCCCTGGAACTGGAGTTACCAAAGGTGGTAAGTTGTCATGTGGGTCCTGGGAACCAAATCCAGGTTCTCTTCAAGAACAGCCAGTGTTCTTGACAACCATTGAGCCATCTGTCCAGACTACACATTCTCAAATTTTTCTAATATGTAGCACATTATTATTTAGTCATCTTACTATGCAATAACACACTATACATTAAAAGTAGTGTTTTGCTCTAAAGTATATGTTTGCGGTGTGTGTTTAAGTATGGACAATAGTATGCATTTATGGTAACAGTAAGTAGAAATCTTAACTTTGGTATAGATGTGGTAGTCAGTTCTAAGATAAAATCGTTTTTTTCTTAGATTATCTAATGGAATAATTTTATGTTTATTTGGAAGACTTGTAGGTAAATAATGAATTGGCAGGCCTTTTCAATGTAAAAATATTTCACTTTCAGTACTGTATTTGCATCTCATTGTCCTGATAGATTTCTGTTTTGATTTTCTGCTGACAGGTCACATTTAGGGCAGGCAAAACACAAGGGAAATATCCCTCCTGAGAGTAGAAAATCTAATTCTAAGGCACCCAAAGCACAGTCTAACACTACTGAACTGTCAAGGGGACACCTTTCTAAAAGGTAAAATATCACATTGCTTTCTACATTTTCAAGAGAGACTAAAAGTGTATTCTAATTATTACATAATTTAAGCTTACAGGTTATCTGGCAAATGTTTTCATTATTCTGAGTGTATTTTAGGAATAGTAATTTATCATTTGCAGTGATATCACTGATACATGGCCTAGAAAAGGAAATTTACACTTTTTTAGGAGAGCTGGGGTTCCTCAGTTGGTTAACAAACCCATTATAGAGGCATTTTTAAAAAGATTTTAAAATTATTGCCATCATGGTGGCGGATACCTTAAGTTCCAGCACTTGGGAGGCAGAGGCAGGCGAATCTCTGTGAGATTGAGGCCTATATATTGAGTTCCAGGTCAGCTGGGGCCAGAGGGAGACCTTGTCTTGCCCCCACCCTTAAAGATTTCTAAGTATATATGTGTATTTTGTGGGTTTGTGCTTGTGTGACTGTAGGTGCTCTGAGTCCAGAGAGGACATCAGATCTCCTGGGGCTGGAGTTTCAGGTGGCTGTGAGCCACATGATGCGGGAATTGAAAACCAAACTCGGGTCCTCTAAAAGAGCAGCAAGTGCTTTTTAACAGTTGAGCCATCTCTCCAGCCTCCATTATAGGTCTTTAAAGATGCCATTTACCATTTTCTTTAATGTTGATTGTCATAGAGTCATGATTTAGCTTAGTTTTGTTTGTGTTCATTAGTTTTCTTCAAATTAGTCATAAGATCTCTAATTGTTAGGAATCTTTGCAAAGGAATGTTAACTGTGACTATTCATAGTTTACAGGCTGAAAATGTTTAACCTTTTAGAAAATGTATGTTTATACTTATTTACTTTGAGAAAAGTTATTTTTTGGAATGGATCATCAGTACTCTACTCTGTAAGGATCCTGAACCACTTGGCATCCTTTTTCTTAAAATAATGACTAATTTTTTGATTAGGGGTGTCAGTGTCCATGATCTTTGGACTAAAGAATATCTTTATTTTGGGACTAGAAAGATGGCTCAGTGCTTAAGTGTATACTGCTCTTGCAGAGGACCCAGATTTGGTTCCTAGCACCTATATGGTGGCCAAATCCATCTGTAATTCCATTTCCAGGGTATCTGTGGTCCTCTTCTGGCCTCTGTGGGCACCAGGCACTCAGGTGGTACCCACACATGCAGGCAAAATACTCTTAGATCTTAAAATAACACAAACTCTTCTTTTGAGCTGTGTGTGGTGGTACAATCATGCAATCTTAGTACTTGGGAGGCAGGGGTATAGGTATTAAAACCCAGCCTTAGTTAGTTTGAGTTCCTTCTGGGCTACGTAAGCTCCTGCCCCCTGTCAGAAACTCTGTCTCTCTTATCTGCTTTCTATATCTTCTATCAACTATCCATCCATCATCTATCAACCAGCTAATCTCCCTTCCTCCCTCCTCCCTTCCTCTTCTGTGACAGGGTTTCACTGTGTTGAGCCGGCCTGGAACTTGACTCAAGCTCAAAGAGATCTATCTTCCTGCCTCTGTCCTCCCCTGCCCCTCAAGTTCTGGGATTAAAGGCTTGTGCCACCATGCCTTGCTGATTTTCTAATAAAATATGTTTCAAAACTCGTCTTTTTCTTTGGAATTTTGAACCATTTGGACACTTTTTTTTTTTTTTTTTTTTTTTTTTTTAAATATTGGCCTTAATTAGGAACTGTCCTCACACTTTCTCCCTAAGAGGTTTAGGAATCTATGTTTGATGACAAGTTTGCTCGTGGTAGGCTATAGCTAACTCTCTTCTTATCTGACCTCTTAGAAGCTGCAGTTCATCATCTGCTGTCATAGTTCCGCAGCCAGAGGATCCAGACAGAGCCAATACTTCAGAAAGGCAGAAAACGGGGCAGGTGCCTAAGAAAGACAATTCTCGAGGAGTGAAACGCAGTGCTAGTCCAGACTACAACAGGACCAATTCTCCTAGCTCTGCAAAAAAGCCCAGAGCACTTCAGCATTTTGAGTCTCTCTCAGAAACAAATAAGCCACATAGTAAGTCAAAGAAGAGACATTTAGACCAGGAACAACTGAAATCTGCACAATTGCCATCAACAAGCAAGGCTCACACCAGAAAGAGTGGGGCCGCTGGTAGTTCACGGAGTCAGAAAAGAAAGAGGACAGAGATTTCTTGTGTGAAGAGTGGTTCTGGGTCCGAATCAACTGGTGCCGAAGAGAGATCTGCAAAACCCACCAAGCTGGCTTCAAAATCGGCCACCTCAGCCAAAGCTGGGTGTAGCACCATCACTGATTCTTCTTCTGCTGCCTCTACTTCCTCCTCATCTTCTGCTGTAGCCTCGGCCTCTTCGACTGTACCACCAGGTGCCAGGGTGAAACAAGGAAAAGACCAGAACAAGGCCAGGCGTTCCCGTTCGGCGTCCAGTCCTAGTCCCAGAAGAAGTAGCAGGGAGAAGGAACAGAGTAAAACTGGTGGCTCTTCAAAATTTGATTGGGCTGCTCGTTTCAGCCCTAAAGTTAGCCTACCTAAAACAAAACTGTCTCTTCCAGGGTCTTCTAAGTCAGAGACATCAAAACCTGGACCTTCTGGATTACAGGCCAAATTAGCAAGTAAGTTAATGGAAATCCTTTTCCTTTACTCAAAACCTCTTTCTTGGTCAGAAGTGATTGTACTTTCAAGTTTTCTTTTTTCCTGCGATAGTCTTAGATTTGTTATTGTATCTATATATATTTGTTCCTGATGCTATTAGATTTATAGAGACGGTTAAGGAATGTCTTAATGCTACTAAGTTAGTACATTTTAGTGTCTCTACCTTTGTCTTTACAGCATCTGATACTTTAGTTTTTTCATAGTTTCAGGGTGGGAAAAATAACTGGAATTTTATTTTGTACTATTTTAAAAGATTGTCGTCTGAGTTGCTCTTGACTATAATTAGAAATCACTCTTTTAAAGTAATATCTTGATGTATGGCAATGGTATATTAAATTATTAGAGTAAATTACCCTAAAATAAATGAAAACTTTATGTGTAATATTTAATGGCTTTTAGGGTCTAGATGATTGCCTCTTAGGTTCTACATACTGTTCTGGGTACTAGATTCATGGAGAGTGTTGTCTTGTAGCTTGCAGAAGAGTAGAAATAGTACATTCAAGCAAAGAAACAGAAACCAGAAGGAAGAAACATTGCTCTGTCTTTCGTTACCCCAGCCTTGGAGATCTCCAGCACTTCGGTAACCTCTCTTCCCAGAAGAGTTCTTTAGGAGGCTGTCTTGTTAGAACTGATTTGAATTGGTGCTGACTCTGCAACTGCTGATTGCTGAGATTTGAAAGTTGTTCTCTTCCTCCCTGTTCTGTTTTAAGAAATCTAGAAAGGACAAATAGAACGAGAGCATACATCCACTTTTCTCACATTTAAAAACACTGGTTTGTTTTTAAAATTGGTGAGTCAGTCTCACCATGTTGTTCCATCTGGCTTCAAACCTTTGATAATTTGTTCTTTGGCCTGGGTTATAGGCATGCATCATTGCTTTTGACCTCAGGAAGTTTGTTTTTGGCAATTTTCTTTTGGGTTCACTTAAATATTGTGTTTTGATAGAACATTTTCTTGGTTATTGGAAGACTTTGAAAACTTTGTTCCAGTGTGGTTTTTTTTTCTTTATTTTTATGGGGCTTTTGGCTACTCTTAACATCCCCCCCCCCCCCGAAGAGGTAACCCTAAAATCGCTTAAGGATTAGATAAAAGCTCCCAAATATTTTCAACATTTTTGGCCTTTGGAACAGAGTATCTTGCTTAGAGGCCCAAGGACATTGAGACTTTTAGCCAGGAAACTGGCTACTTTTCTTGAGGTCTTTTTACCCTGCCTAGCCAGTTCCTACCTCCTATTCTTATCATGCCATACTCTGAAGAGGTTACCAGATTGCCAGTAGGGAATAGGGACTCAGACTGCTCTGGCTTCTTCCATGCTGAACAGGGACCCAGGGTGAGGCCATTGGAGGGTTACTCTTTCAGTGGGTCTGTCTGAAAGACTCCCAAATTATTTAACTCTTATCTCGAGGAAAAGAAAGTAGTCCTTGAATCCTGAATAGATGTGAAGGAGAAGTAAAGGCAAGACTAATTAGCATTACAAGTTCTAGACAGGGAACTAGAAAAAAGTCAGAACAGGGCAATTTTCAAATGTTCATATGAGAGTCCATTGGAATTTCTTGACAAGGCCTTCCAGTAGCATCCCTCTATTGGGTTCCTCCTCATTTTTCTTTTGTCTTCCAAGGCTGGACTCAAGAGTGATGGATTCAGGATTTGCTTTTAGGTATTTTGAGCGCAGTTGGAGTGGTTAGAATTAATGTCAGTTCCCTCTCAAAGGCTTCCAGATAGGGGGAGAAAACAAATTTATCCATCATTTTAGAACAATAGCTGGTTGTCTCCCTTAGCTACAGGGGTCACTATAGTATTGCAGACAAAGATTTGAAGTCTTACATCTGAGCAGCATTTTCTGGTTAGGAACAAAATCATCAATGAGAAATAATTGTCTAAATAACTTTTTGTAGACTTAAGCCTGATGTCTAGAAAGTGTAATCCCTTGAACTCTGAAAGAAATATACTGATGACTTTATTCTTCGGTTATACTTTCCTTTGGGGTGTTTAAGACCATACAGTTGGCCCAAATAAATAAATAAATTTATTTTTACACTTAAGGTCGTTTTGAGGATCTGTTCCTCAGGTGTCACATGGGCTTGGGAGGAGCTTCTGGCTCCTTTCTCTTACCAGTTCCATCTATGTGAAGATAAGTCAAAGGTCCTGCTTGACCATGTCTGGCTTCACTTGGAAGCATGAATGAGGTGCTTCCTCTGAGTCGACCCTCCTCTTTGTAGACTGGACACTGGTTCAAGTCCATCTCATGGGGTCTGACCACAGTTACAGGGCATTTTGAGAGATGTTCCATAGTCCCCTGGAACTTAGTCGACCTTGGAGGGCAAGGGGCAAAAACTGTCCTTTAAGTCCATCTGACCACATTAGTATAGGCATCAAACTATGGCTGTTAAACATCCAATAAGGTTAGTTCCACCTGTCTGGTACCTTTTTTTTTTTGGTCTTTTTTTGAGACAGGTCTCCCCGTAGCCCCAGCTGTCCTAGAACTCACTGTGTACGACCAGGCTGGCCTTGAACTCACAGAGATCCGAGTGCTGGAATTAAAGGTATGTGCCACCACGCCCATCTTCTGTCTTCCTGTAGATGAGGCTTGGGTAAAAAAACAAATATTCTCAGATAAATCTTGACTATATATATTTTGTTCGTTAAACTGGTTGACTAAACTATGACCATAGAAATTTTATTATGTGTATATTATTTTTGTCTCATCCTTTATATATCATAACAAACCTACACAGACCTTCATCACTTGCTTAGGCTTTCTCATTTTTTCTATTTTGGAAAATATCTCCATTCCCATATCCTCTTAACATCTTTTACATTCTCATTTTCTTTTTCTTTTTTAAAAAATATTTATGAGACATAATAGCATTAACAGATTTTCTGTGAATTGTGAAACTTCCCTTCCTGGGGATGCTAAGCAATGTTTATTCCCTTTTAAGGTTCTAGTGTCAAGTCAATGTTTGATTAAAGTTTTACTGGGGAACCAGTGAATTTATTGAGCTTACTTAACCAAGACAACTGAGGGGTTGATGAGGTGTATGTATGACCTGAGGGTATGCACACCGGAAAGCCTTTACCCAGCATGGGCTCCTTCTCTTCCTAGCCTTCCCCAAATTGTATACTTTAGCCCTCCCCAAATCCAGGAAGCCATGTGTGAGTAGGGTCAAATTACATATAGTTGGCTGGGAAGAGTGGCTGGATACTCAGGTGAGGGCCCAGTGACCTTGAATGAGCACAACCAACAACAAGCTCAATTGTGATGATGTTTAGCTATCAGGCTCAGCTGAAGTGATGATGGTAGTTCTTGCAGAAGGGACTGCTGTATGGCATCATTTTATTAAAAGGACCTGGAATTTAAAAGGATTTGGTGCTAGGATCCACATATGAGGGAGAATATATGTCATTTGTTTTTCTCAGTCTGTGTTACCTCACTTAGTATAACAGTTTCTAGAGCCATCCATTTACTTGCAAATTTCATTATTTCATCTTTCTTTACTGCTGAATAGAACTCTATTGTGTAAATGTACTACATTTTTGTTAACCACTCGTCAGTTGAGAGGCACTTAGGTTGCTGCCATCTCCTAGCTATTATGAAAAGAGCAGCAACAAACATGAATGTACAAGTGTCTCTACAATAGGATGAGTCCTTTGGTTATATGCCAAGGAATGGTATAACCAGGTCATATGGTAGGTTCATTTTTCGTTTTGAGTTCTCCACACTGTTTTCGATAGAGGTTGCACGAGTTTGAAATCCCACTAGCAGTGATTGAGTGTTCTCCTTTCTCTACATCCTTGCCAGCATTTGTTATCATTCGTTTTCTTGATCCTACCCAGTCTGATTAGGGTAAGGTGATACCTTAGGGTGGTTTTAATTTGCATTTCCCTAATTACTAATGATGTTGAACACTTTTTGAGACGTTTCTTGCCATTTTTATTTCTTCCTTTGAGAACTCTGTTTAGATATTTAGCCCATCTTTTAATTGAGTCATTTGGTTTCTCAATTCTTTGTTTTGAGTTCTTTATATATTCTGGACGCTAAACGTCTGTCAGATGTGTCACTGGTGAAGATTTTTTTCCCATTCTGTGGGTTTTCTCTTCACTTTTTTTTTTTTGGTCTTTTTGAGACAGGGTCTCCCTGTAGCCCCAGCTGTCCTGGAACTCACTATGTAGACCAGGCTGGCCTTGAACTCACAGAGATCACCTGCCTCTGCCTCGCAAGTACTGGGACTACAGGCGTGTGCCACCATGCCTGGCCTTTCTCTTCACTTTTTTAAAAATTATTTTTTTTAAATATTTATTTTATGTGTATGAGTGTTATGCCTGCATATATGTAAGTACACCCGTGTTATGCAATGCCTGCGGAGGACAAAAGAGGCCGTTGGATCCCCTGGAACTGGAGTTACAGACAGTTGTTAGCTGCCGTGTGGTTCCTGGGATTCAAACCCGGGTGTTATGCAAGAACAACCGGTGTTCTTAACTGCTGAGGCATCTCTCCAGCCCTCTCTTCACTTTGATTGTTTCTTTTGCGGTACAGAAGTTTTTTTAGTTTAATGAGGTCCCATTTGTTGATTGCTGACCTTAATTTCTGAGAAACTTCTATCTGATTTAGAAAATCCTTTCCTACGCCTATATCTTGTAAGTTACTGTCAATATTTCCTTCTAACAGTTTCAGTGTTTCCAGTTTCACACTGAGGTCTTTGATCCATTTGGAGTTGACTTTTGTGCAAGGTGAAAGATAAGGATCTAGTTTCATTCTTCAACAGGTGGAGATCTGTTGGGTCTGTTTAAACTGTTGATCTCTTCTTGGTTTAACTTTGGTGAGTCCCATGATTTCAGATATCCATCCGTTTCTTTTAGATTTTCAGATTTAGTAGCATATAAGTTTTTTAAAATACTCCCTTACAATGGTCTGGATCTTTTGTGTGTGTGTTGTGATGTTTCCCCTTTCATCTCTGATTTT